GGGAGGGTACCGAAGAAAGGAGTGGGGAGGCTGAGGGTGAGCCACGTGAAGGCGATCGCACCGGCTCCGAACAGGAGGAGGAGCAGCAGCTTGCACTTTTGCTGCACGCGATTGGTGACACATTTTTGAAAATCGTAGGACAGAAGCGCGATACGTCGACACTCGCATATTTGTCTCAATATATACCTGGAAGTATCGATCCATGATAGGGCCGATAACCACGCCGCCCACAATGCCAGCAATGCTGCCACCTGCAAACACCCCCGTGTGTTGCCCCAAAGTGCCAGTGAGCTCGTGTTGTTGAAGACACACGACACACACGACACACACGACACACACGACACACACGACACACACGACACACACGACACACACGACACACACGACACACACGACACACACGACACACACGACACACACGACACACACGACACACACGACACACACGACACAACCGAAGAGGCCGGTTACGTACCGAAGCCAAGCCAACCGGCCTGAGACTCGGTGTAGTGGAGGTCTTCCAGCGCCTGCGGGAGAACGCCCTGCCAGCCTGGTGTGCAAATATCAGAGAGTGGGCGTCGGTCAGGCGGGCCGCAGCTGCGGGCGAATTGAATTGGAAGAGGAGAAACCGTTGGTGACGCCGGCTTGGATACCGCCGGCGAGGATGACCAGCATGAAGGAGACGTTGACGAGCGAGTCCTTCATCCCCTTGAAGAAGCTCGACTCGTAGCGCCCTTCGATGTGGGCCAACGCCACCGCGCTCGGTGGGTGCTTGGGCCGCTCCCTGGGAGGTGCGTGACAGGCGAGGGCGCGCCCCTCAACCTGGTGAGTCCGCCCTGAAACAGCCAAAAGAAGAGCGCGGCAGAGGCGGAGCAGCGTGTGTGGTACCGGTAGTAGATGATGCCGCCGATGATGGGCAACGCGGCCATGCCGATCTGCACGTAGAGCAGCGTAGGCAGCTTATCGGGAGTCGGAGCGATACCTGGCCCCTGTAGCAGCAAAATGGCAGCCCAGTTGTTCAATAAGACACACACATAGAGAGAGAGAGAGAGAGAGGAAAGCTGCGTACGATGAGAAAGCCGATGGAGGTGCCCAATGCGTTGGCTGTGTAGGCGATGGCTGTGGCTGTGGCCCTTTGGTTGTCCGGAAACCAGACCGCAGAGAGCTTACTGTCGGACACGACGTCCACCCAACGCCACGAAAAGTGTCAGCACCAACAGCAGCCTATCTCCGTCGTCGACCTGCCGCTTTGGCTGTGAGATTGAGTGGAGGTTGCAGCGGAGAGTATAAGTACCTGCACAGGGCCATCACGATGGGGCCAGCGGCCGCGTTGAGGATCTGGCCTGCACAGAACACCAAGTGCGGCGGCCGGTACGCGCTGCGGCGTGAGCGTCGATCAACGTTGAGTGGGGCATCGGGAGGTGATGGGTGGTGTACCGACGTGCAAGGTCCACTGCATGTAGAAGTTGCCGCGCAAATGGGCCGGCGCCCAGCACGGGATCGTGCGGATTACCGTCGCCAGGAAGACCAGCGCATTGCCCTGTGGAGGTGATTTCTCGTCAGGCCACGTACCGCACACGCACCACCGCACACGCACGGGAAAACGGACCTGCCAGAAGGCGATGAGGAGGCCGTTGCGCCGCGTTTGGAGCCACGACACGTAGGGCAGCACCGGGATGAAGACGATGGCACCCCAGTTCAACAACAGATCGATCGTGCCCTCGTCCACGCCTGGTTGGTTGGTTGGTTGGTTGATGTTAGCGGGCCACCTCGTGTGGCACGAACGCAGACTATGTGTGTTGTGTGCCGTGTGGCATGCGTGCGGTACCTGGATAGTACTCTTTGGCGACCTTGGGCACGGAGGAGAAGGTGAACCACACGAGCGACTGCAGAAACGACGCGAACGAGAACACGAAGAGCACCCACCACCGCCAGGCCGTGACCTGATACTCCACTTCCTCTTCACCCTCGCCCGAACCCACCGGCGCGTAGGGGTGGCTGCCGGCCAACGCCCGCTCGGTGTAATCGCTGGTCCACCCAACATCTTCATTCTTTTTGTCTGCCCTTCTCTCCATCGCGATTTATCGCTCTACGCGACGAATTTAATCGCGAAACAAGGCAAGCCCAATCGAATGAATGAATGAATGGTTAACTGCCCACTTGTAAAGACGCGCTTGTGTTGCCCTTCTTGTGAAAAATAAACTAATGGGCAGAAAACGGAAACGAAAAGCAAAATAATGATGACTAAAACAAAATAAATCGATTGCATGGGAGAGATGAGAGGAGTTGTATTTGGGGGTTAGAGCTGAGAAGGACGGGCGCGGAGGACGGCGATACGGCGCGGGAGGGCGAGGGAGAGAGGCACGACGCAGAGGAGGCGACGATCGGGCACCGGGTAATGCGAGGTGGTGTAGGACACAACGCCGGGCGTGGTCGCGTAGAGGGTGTGGTCGCGACCGCGTTCGACGCCGGGACCCGGATGAATGCGAGTGCCGCGCTGGCGAAGCAGGATTTCGCCCGCCTTGACCTCCTCACCATCGCCGCGCTTGGGTCCAAGGTACTTGGGCCGAGAGGTACGTCCGTTCTTGGAGGAACCGCCAGTCTTCTTCGTCGCGCCTCGTCGCCACACGTCTCCCCAAGTCGATGGTCCGACCATGCGCGTAGCGGCAGTGCTCGAAGATGAGCCGCCCACTGCGATGCCCCACGTCCTCGCCATCATACCATTTCCCATGCTGCTGACATTGCTGGTCCGCAAGCCCACCGCCCCACTGCTCATGCGTTGCATCTTCTTAATTCCTTCAATCGATTAAACAATGTTTTTCTTTACTTTTTTCCTAATCATTTTCATTTGACTTCCGGAACCTTGTGGCGCCGACGGAGAGTGACGACCCACCGGCGCGGAAGCGAAGTTGTCGGCAGCGCAAAGGGATTGCGGAAGTGTAGCGAAGGAAGAATCACAAGAAGATGCGTCGTGCTCTGTCATCGGTTTCCCGAGTGGCCTCGACCTCGTCGGCGCCCCTCCTCGGCTCTGCGGCTCTCAGGTCGCGAGCCGTCGCTGCCTTGGCCACTGCCGTCGAGCCCAAGAAGGTAACCGCCCCATGCATTACTTCATCAATTATTGACGATGTTCGGCGACTGCACTACTCTTGCTACTGCAGATGGAAAATTGAACCAATTTCACTTTGCGCACAGATTTCCGTCAGGGAGGCCCTGCGTGAGGCTATCGATGAGGAGATGGAGCGGGATTCCCGCGTGGTGATGCTCGGCGAGGAAGTCGCTCAGTACCAGGGTGCCTACAAGGCACGGCTTACCTTTTTTTCTCTTCATCTCCTTCCTTCCACGATTCCTGGAATCGCTGCTCATGGGGCAGGCAAATCAATTAATCCAACCACTAACATGGATTTGAAATGAAATGCAGGTGTCGAAGGGTTTGATGGAGAAGTTCGGTAGGGAGCGAGTGGTCGATACGCCCATCACCGAGGCCGGTTTCGCTGGCATCGGCGTTGGCGCGGCCATGTCGGGTCTGGTGCCCATCGTTGAGTTCATGACCATGAACTTCTCCTTGCAAGCCATCGATCACATCGTCAACTCGGCGGCCAAGCTGCGCTACATGTCTGGCGGTATGTACAACGTGCCCATCGTCTTCCGTGGCCCCAACGGTCCCCCCCGCGCCGTCGGTGCCCAGCACTCGCAGTGCTTCGGCGCCTGGTACTCGTCCGTGCCCGGCCTCAAGGTCGTCGCCCCCTGGAACTGTAACGACGCCAAGGGTCTCCTCAAGGTGCTCCACCTCTGCTCCGCCTATGTGGTGCTCGTGCATCGTCGCTCACCACACACACACACACACGACACGCACACATACAACTTTTCGATCGATACAGGCCGCCATCCGTGACCCCAACCCCGTTGTGTTCCTCGAGAGCGAGATTGGCTACAATGAGACCTACGAGCTGAGCCCCGAGGCGCAGAGCAAGGACTACGTGCTCGACATCGGCAAGGCCCACATCGAGAAGGAGGGCAGCGACATCACCGTGCTCACCTTCTCCCGCATGGTCGGCGTCGCCCTCGAGGCCGCCCAGAAGGCCGCCGAGAAAGGCATCAGCGTGGAGGTGGTGAACCTCCGGAGCTTGCGCCCGCTCGACCTCGACACCATCGTCAACTCCATCAAGAAGACCAACCGCTTCGTCACCGTCGAGGAGGGCTGGCCTCAGTGCGGCATTGGCTCCGAGATCATCGCCCTTGCCAACGAACGTACGTAATCCACCCACGCGCGTGCCACAACAGAACACAACGCGCGCAACGCAACGCACAACACACAACGTACACAATGCTGGGCTGATGAACTGATCGTCATGCGTGGCAACAACCACAGACTGCTTCGATTTCCTGGACGCGCCCCCGGAGAGGATCACCGGCGCCGACGTGCCCATGCCCTACACCTGGCCGCTCGAGGACGAGGCCATGGTGCAGACCCAGAACATCGTGAACGCCATCGAGCGCGTGTGCTACAGAAACACCACCAACCAGTAAATTACACACTCTTGGCTCGCCTCTTCACCCAAACTAGACGCCTCCCGTGTTGTAGAAACATTCTCAGAAAAATTTGAATTGGCAACTGTCGTCGATAGTTTGTTCGATTTGGTTTGATTGATTCGTCTGGGATTGAGTATTATAAATCCAATTCAGTTGATGGAGGTGGCTGATGAACCCAACGGTACCCACTCGACTGCTTCGCAGAGCCGCGGGCACCACCGGGCGTCATCGATGGAGGGGCTGAGCCGGCGGCGAGAGCTGCTGGTGCGGCGCTGCGACAGCGTCCGGGCCACCCTCGCCCTCCGGCGTCGGCTGGCCGAGGTACGGCGCGACCTCCTCCACCGCAAGCTCGACCACCTGCGCCTCGTCCACCGCATCCAGCACACCCTGGACCACCTCTCGTCGTCATGTCCATCCACTTCATCTTCAACATCCAAAGAACCACCACCAGCCGTGCTCGAACAAGAGCCGGAGACGAAGAAGCGAAAGCGAGAGGAGAAGAGCGAAGAAGAAGAAGAGGCAGCCATGGCAGCCGTGACGCTGGGAATAGATGAAGCGGACGAACGAGAAAGAGAAGGGAAAGAAGAAGCCGAAGCAGAAGCAGAGCGAGCCGGGGTGCAGCAGGAAGGAGCTGATGGCGCGGAGGAAGTGTCGTCGTCGTCGTCGGCGCCGCCATCATCACTGGCGGCAGCAGCCAAGAAGAGGAGAGAGGAGCCGCCTTCGCCTGTGCGAGAAGAAACAGGCAAAGAAGAGGGCGGCGTCGAGAAGGCGGGAGACGGCGCCGAGATTGGCGAAGCGCCCGTCGGCGGCGAACTTGGAGAACAGGCCACCGACGCCCAGGCAGGAGGGCGGGAGGAGGAGACGGTGCGCGGCGGCGATGGTGGCGAGACGGCGGCTGGCACGAGTGGTCGGACGGGCGAAGGCGAAGCGGAGGAAGACGACGATGAATCGTCGGACGACGTGGTGAGCATCGCGCAAGCGGCCAACGTCGCGGCTGCCGCCGTGGAGCAAGTGGCGGAGAGCGACGTCGAGCTGTCGGAAGCCGAATTCGAAGACGACGACGACGAAGAAGACGAAGAAGGCGATGATGACGACGACGGGCTCATCGACCACTCGGACGGCGAGCTGTTCGTGGATCGCAGCTTCGGCCTCGTTCGGCTGCTGGAGGACCACGAGGTTTCGATGGAAGTCGAAGCCGACCAGGCCGAACAAGACGTCGACAACAAAAACAATGACGACGACAACGACAACGGCGACGAAGAAGCAGAGTGCGTGATCGGCCGAAAGATCGCGGCCGAGGAGGGTACTATGGAGATGGACCTCTTTGGCGGCGTCGACGATCGTGGTGGCCTCGATCAGAACCCCGACGACTCTGAGTTGGAGTTGACGTCGGAGTTGGAGGCCGAGTCCCAGAAGGCCGTCGATATGAGCGTGGACGTGTTCGGCGGCATCGACAACAACCACGACGACGACGAGACCGAGAAAGGTGTGAACTCGAGCACGCTGGAGCTTGACCTGTTCGGCGGCATCGGCAACGACGAAGCCGAGGACGACGACGACGGCCACCCACCAGAGACCGAGAAGGGCGTCGACACGAGCACGCTGGAGCTGGACCTCTTCGGCGGCGTCGACAACGGCGAAGACCAAGCCGAGGCCGAGGCCGAGACCGAGAAGGGCGCCGATACAAGCACGCTCGAACTCGACCTCTTCGGCGGCGTCGACAAATCAGGCGATGATGGAAAGAACGAAGAAGAAGACAAAGAAGACAAAGAAGAAGTGGGGAAGGGTGTCGACACGAGTACGATGGAGGTGGACCTCTACGGCGGTGTGGTCGACGACGATGAAGAAGGCGAGATTGTGGAGGAGATCGACCGGGTCGGGCCGCCGCCGCCGTTCGGGTCGTTCGTGTTCGAGGGCGGATCGGACATTGAAGACGATGACGACGCCACGCAGATGCCCGATGGCGATGGCGATGGCGAAGAAGACGGTGCGCAATCGTTGAATGTCACGCTGGACGACGACAGCGAGATAACAGACGACGGAGAAGCCCACGACAACGACGACGCGAGGAAGAACAACAACAACAACAGCTCGGAGGCGGCGGCGTCCTCCCAAGACGTGTAGGGTGGTCTCTTGTACAAAGTAAACGCCTGTGTGCCAGCAGTGGTCGCATTGCAACGTGACGTTTCGACCAATCACTGAGTGGCGAGACAAGCTTCTCGCCTAAAACAATTACCGCGCTGCCATTGGTTGGGAGCCAACATAAAACAGCCAGGCGGCCACAACTTTTTTATTCTCTTCCTTCCATTCACCGCGTACGTGCTTCTTCTGCTTTTCCGTGTGAACAATAAATAAAACCAATATAACTAAATTATTGGTGGCGCTGCAGGTGCGAACATGGAAGTTGAGTCCACGACCAGCGAGCGCAAGAGGAAGCACGCCAGCGACGCCTCGCCCGAGCGTACGACGACCCCAACCGAGTCCAGCGACGATGCCAGCGAGAGACCGGTGTTCCCAGTGACCAAGGTGGTGCTCTCCAAGACTGGCATCGGCTACTTCGAACGGTACCCCCCCTCCCCTCTCAATGTCCCCTAGGGCAGACACACTGTTAATCATCATATCATGTTAAATAGTACAGTTTCAATAGACATAAAAATGTAAGTATCATCTCACCAAACATTTATGTGCGACAAAATATATGCGACTACAACGACAACAGGGAGGACGAGGTGGCGGGCGGGCGGCCGTTCGAGCTGTTCTTCAAGAGCGGCGACATGAACGACGTCCTCAAGTCTCTCACCATGATCGACCTCTCCGGCCGACCCGGTATCTGTCCGCTGCTGATGTCTTTCGTTCATCTTCTTCTTGAGCTGACCCAACCCCACCCCCACATCGTCGCCACCAGACACCAAGAAGGCCAAGAAGGAGGTCGACGACCAGCCGCTCGCCCGGGGCAGTGCCAGTACGTAACCGCATCGACCACGCAACACCATCAAAACGCAACACATCTAAAGCTGAGGTGGTGGGTTGGGTGGATGGCGGCTGGGGCGCGCACAGGTCTGGTGTCGTCGATCAGCTACGAGTCGACGCGGCCCTTCGACAAGCAGCTCGACGACCTCTCCATCTCGCTCAACGAGCACTCGTCCCTGCGCGACCTGCTCGGCCAGGTCAAGGGCACGCCCGTCCAGGTGGAGATCCTCCGCCACGGCAAGCGCGACCTCGTCGAGGGCACCGTCATCGGTAGGCATCCTCTGTGTGCGTGTGCGTGTGCGTGTGCGGTGGTGCATGTGCGTGCGTGTGCGTGCGTGCGGTTATAATGAAAGTCAATGCAACGCAGGTCTGGAGCGGAAGAAGGTGGTGTTCCCGAGTGCCCACAAGGCCTACTTCCTGGCGCTGCTGGTGGGCGGCAGGGCCGTGCAGTACTTCGACCTCGCCGCAGTGGTCAAGCTGCGGTTCGCGAACGAGCTCATGCGCCAGGACCTGCGCCACCTACTCTCCGTCCTCCTCCAGGTTTAGCACCTCCACCAACCACTCCCGCCCACAGCTCACCTCGCTAACCCTGTGCGTGTGCGTGTGCGTGTGCCGTGTGCCGTGTGCGTGTGCCGTGTGCGTGTGCGTGTGCGTGTTCGTGTGCGTGTGACAGGCGAAGAAGAAGGACCTGAAGTCGGTCACGGCCTACCCGCGCGGGGGCGGGGAGTCGAGCACGATTCGGGCGTCGTACATCGTCGAGGCACCCGTGTGGAAGGCCACCTACCGCCTCTTTTTCAATACCAACCACCGCCCGGGTCGCCGTCCTGCCGGCCCCGATGATATCGACGATGACGGTGACGCCGAGCAGCAACGGCCCAAGTCGATCATCGAGGGGTGGGCGCTGGTGGACAACACGCAGAACGAGGACTGGCGCGGGGTGGAGCTGTCGCTGGTGTCGGGCGCGTCGAACTCGTTCATCTACGACCTCTACAACCCGCGCTACGCCGCCCGCACCGAGGCACGCGCACCCTCCCCCACCCACTCCTCTGTACCGGGTGCCGTTGAGGGCCAGTCTACTCGGCTAACTGATGGTCGGTGATTGGGGGGGCGGGGGGACGATGCAGATCGAGGTGGAGCAGGAGGAGACCATGGCGCCGCCCACACTCGAGGACGCCATCGCTCAGCACAACGTGTCGGTTCTGACCGGCGCGAGGGCTATGCAAGACCAGCGTACGTTCGCTTTCTTGGGCGCATGACACTCGACACACGCCTATACGACACACGCACACGCACACGCACACGCACACCCACGCATGCGCGCACTCATAATTTCTCACGTTCGATCGGGTGCAATCTCCAGGGAAGCGGACTCCAGTGGTGCGCGCCCATGCCCATGCCCAGCCCGTCAAAGCCAAGAAGCGGAAGACGAATAAACGTACGACGCGTCATCACCGGCGCTGGTGGGCGGTGGGAGCCCAGTCTGACAGACTTGACTGATCATATCTGCGTGTACGCCCGTGTGGACACAGGGAGTCGAGAAGAGGCAGACCGATGCCCGATTCGCTCTCCAACCAACCAGCTCGCGTCGACCACATCATCGCAGCCGCTGCCGCTGCCCCAGATGCAGATGCAACAAGCCGCCCCCATGCCGCTCACCGCTATCCAAACGCTTGGCACATGTTTAATTGGAGGCTCCATGGACCAAGCGGGCGTCAGGGATGTCCTCGAACGGTACGCGAGTGCGCCCCCCAAAGCACCGCAGCCCAATGCACCTCGTGGTCGCCTGTTGGCGCAGTTGTGTTGCACACGGCTCATTCAGGCGAATCCATGGATGGTTGGACGCAGGTTGTCGATGTCGTCGGCGTCGTCATCGGTGGAGGTAAATGTCGAGGCCAAGAAGATGGAGATGGCCGACCTCTTCCAGTACAAGGTATGGACCACCCGACCAATCCCACGCGACCTTTTTGACCACCAACCAATAATCAACCAACGAACGAACAGATCACGAGCGCGGTGAACGTGAACCGCAACCAGTCGGCCCTCGTGCCCTTCCTCCACACCGAGTTCAACGGCGTCAAGGCCTCCGTCTACAACAAGGTACCCTCTCGACCCCACCCACTCACCCCCAATCTGCCATGTCAGCGTGACGTGGCAGTCAATACCTTGCTGACTTAGGGGGGGGGCGGGAAATGAATGCGAAAGAATGTGCGGGAGGACAACCCGCTGGCGGTGATCAAGTTCAAGAACACGTTCGGCGTGCCGCTCGAGTCGGGGCCGCTGTGCCTGTTCGAGGACGACATCTGCGTGGGCGAGTCGATGCTGCCTCGGGTCAAGGTCAACGAGGAGATCTACGCGGCCTACGCCGTCGACCTCAAGACCACCGTCACCATGACCGACTCCTCCGAACGTACGCACAGGCCCCACCGCACACGCACTCATGCAGACGCACACGCACACGCACCACCGCACACGCCCAAACTCAAAGGTTAGGCGTGTGTAGTGCGTGACGTCTACCAGGCAGACGCGGGGCAGTGCGACTGGGAGCGGGGCCGGTTGTTCCTGCGGAGGTGGCGCGTGTACGAGTTCGTGTACGTGGTGGACAACAAGAACGACCACCCCATCGACCACTTTTATCTCGAGGTTCGGACCCCCCCGTGTCAAAAAAGGAGATTTTTGAACACTTCGATGGAAGAGTTGTTTGGTCATACCCATCCATGATTGGCGCAATTTGAACGCAGCATCCGAAGAAGGCGACGGAGCTGATTGAAACGGCGGAGCCCGATGAGCGGCTGGACCACTTCTACCGCTTCAAGCTGGTGGTGCCTGCCGGCCAGGTCGTCAAGTTCGTCGTCAAGTACGTCGAAGAGCCAAGTCTAGGCCCTATTTTCTATTGTTTTTTTCTGAATGTACGCACGACCACCAGAGAGCAGGAGGCGGTCCAGGAGGAGTACCAGCTCGCCAGCGTGACCGTGGAGCAAGCCGACCAGTGGTTCGCTGAGGTATTTCAGGCCTCAACGTTTCGCCTAATCATCGGCACAGCTCACACGAACAACGACACGCACACGACACGCACCACAATGACACACGTGCGCGAACACAGGGGTACATTACGGCGGCGGTCAAGAAGACGCTCGATCAGATCGTGAGCCTAAACGAGAAGGCGAAGGAGCTGCAGCGGGGGTTAAGCAAGGCTCAAGGCCAAGTGGCGTCGCTCAAGGAGGACGTCACCCGAATCAAGAGCTGCCTCGACTCCCTCGCCCTCGGCAAGAGCAGCCTCCATGCGTACGTGGGCTGCGCTCGTAGACACTCACCATTCCGTACTACACGAACTCACCACACGACACGACACACGCTCCTCCGCACACGCGCATCGAACACATGACACGTACCACCGCACACGTCACACACACACACCACAGGGAGCAGAGCAAGTTCCGGGACTTTTTCACGAAGGGGCTCAACGAAACCAGGGTGGGACTGGTGGCAGCCAAGAAGGAGCAGAAGAGTCTCGAGGGCAAGCGAGATAGGAACGCCACCAGGATCAACACCATCGCCTCTGGTGTGCGCTTCTCCAAGAAGCTCGGCGGCGCCAGCGTCTGAGCTGCAAACGTAATCATCATTTGGCCACCAGGAAGCCAATGTTCCTAACATGAAAGTTGACCAGTTAAAAATGAAATTTCTTATGGTTACCAGATTTCCTGGTCAGAATTACTATTTTCTTGGGAAGAACAAATTCAAGAGAAGAAAATTGTCACTTTCGCTCCCGGCTCAGGCCTGGCTGTCATCAATGTCGGGCCTCGCGGCTGTGGCTTCGAGGATCCACCGGTCAAACTGTCGCACGCTCCTGGCGCAGAGCTCCAGGTTCCGCCGCCGCACGTTGTCGTTCTTTGCGCTCCGCTCGGCGGCGGTTCGCTCGTGGCCTACGCGGATCACGACGTCCATCTCGTCCTCGTCCTCCTCCTGCACCCACACCACGGACTCGTCGAGGTAGGTGTAGGTGGCCAGCAGCCGGCGGCTGGCCACGAGGGGGCAGCCGGCGATGAGCGAGGCCGCCACCGTCGACGAGGCCCGCTCGACGTAGTAGTCGTCCGTGGCAAACGACGGCACCAGCGCCACGCTCCGGGCGATGATGGCGTAGTAGGGCAGGTAGGCCAACCCGCTGTCGACCACCACGCGGCCCTCGAGCCCCTGCGGCACCTTGACGCCCTTGCCGCTGCCCAGCAGGTGGAGCGTCAAGCCGGCCGCTTGCCCGTCCGACCGCAGGCGCGACAGCACGCCGTCGTAGTTGCGCCGCCCCGGGTCGAAGTTGCCCTGGATCGCGAAGGCCGTCTCGCCCGCCCTGACGCTGGTGCGCTGCGCGGCCAGCCCAGCTTGAGCGACCTCGAACACAGGCACCCAGGTCTCTACACGGGCCCGCAAGGGTGTCCTAGCAGGCGTCGACACCTGTCCGCGCCAAGCGGGTATGGCGATTGTCGACAAGTGGTCGGCAACGTGCGGCGCGAGGGTGAGAAAGGTGATGCGGCCGGCCTCGACCCAGGGCAGGACGAAGGGCAGCAGCTTCTCGGGCATGCGACCGGCCTCCCACTGGGCCGCATGGTGCACTACGCAGAGCAGGCGCGTGTGCGGCGACGAGGTGAAGAGGTGGTGAATGATGTCGGCGTGGTTGGCAAAGTCCCGCTCGCCCGTGGCGAGCACCACCACGTCGGGCGCGGGAAGCGAGCCACCGGGCAAGTCGAGGAAGTCGCGCATGCGGCGGGCCGGAAAGATGGAGGCCTGCGGGGCGAAGGCGGCGTAGAGTTGGTCGATGCCGTAGCGCCGGGCCTTGAGGTAGAGGGTGAGTGCCGTAGTCGAGGGCTGCTGTCCGATGGCGTAGACCAGCGCGGCGACGACCTCGTCGTGCCACCCGGTGCTCTCTAAGACCGCCACCCGCGAGATGGTGGTGCGGCTCTGGTTTTTCTCCGGCCATTGTTGGGCTTCGGCCTCGGTCTCCCCCGGTGCACCGCCGAGGTAGTGGAGGGCGATCAAGACGAAGGTCGCCAGGCCAAGGACCAGCAGGAGCAGCAGCGGCGTCTTCGTTGTCTTTAGTCGCTGCATATCTCGACAAGAATGGGTAAGAAAATGTTAATGAGCGTTCTCGTTTTCGTTCTTCGTCGCGTTAATCTCTAAATTGCTTCGCGGGACATTTTTCTGACCGGCCACAGCTGGGGTACTCCCTGCAGACGTCACACAGTTTTCAGGTGCTGATCTGCTTGTCGTCGAAGCGAACGCTGAACGCGAGGGTCTCCTTCTTGGAGTTGTTGCGGTCACGCTTCTTCTCGAGCTGCTGGTTCTCCTTCTCCACCTGGACCCGCTCGGCCTTGGTCGTGTTGAGCTCCTTCGTGAAGAAGTCCCTGAACTTGTCTTGCTCCCTGTGTCATGTTGTACGTGCGTGAGGTGCATGTCGTGTGTGTCGTTGTGTTGTGCGTGTCGTGTCGTGTGTCCTGTGCCGCGCGTGTCGTGCGTGTCGTGTCACGTACGCAAAGAGGCTGCTCTGGGAGAGCGCGAGCGCGCCGAGGCAGCTGTCGATTCGCTGGATGTCCTCGTTGAGCGAGCGCAGGTGCTTGCTGACCGTGTTGATCTTGCGCTGCAGCTGCTCTCCCTTGGCATTCCGCGCGACAATGGCATCGAGCGTCTTCTTGATGTCCGCCGTAACATAGCCCTGTATCCGCACGGCGTGTGTGTGTGTGTGTGTATGTGTGTGTGTGTGTGTTGCGTGAGTGCTCGCTCATGGGCCGCCCACCATGGCGCTCGTGGGGTGCACGCACGGCCTTGAACCACTGCTCGGCTTGCTCCTTGGTCACGTTGCGCAGGTCATGCTGTTCGTACTCGGCCTCTCGCTCCCTGCGCGTGCGGTGGTGTGTGTGTGCGTGCGCGTTTGTGTGTGTGTGTGTGTGTCGTGTGTGTGTCGTGTGTGTGTGTGTGTCGTGTGTGTCGTGTGTGTGTTGGCCAAGAAGTGGTCAGACACATCGAAGTCGATCAACCGCAGTTGTTGAGGCGGGGAACGCACTTGATGACGAACTTGACGACCTGGCCGGCAGGCACCACCAGCTTGAACCGGTAGAAGTGGTCCAGCCGCTCATCGGGCTCCGCCGTCTCGGTCAGCTCCGTCGCCTTCTTCGGATGCTGCGTTCAAATTGCGCCAATCATGGACGGTAAGGACCAAATCAGTCTTCCGTCGAAGTGTTCAAAAATCTCCTTTTTTGAACAACGGGGGGGCCGAACCTCGAGATAGAAGTGGTCGATGGGGTGGTCGTTCTTGTTGTCCACCACGTACACGAACTCGTACACGCGCCACCGGACCAGGGTCAGCCGGCCCCGCTCCCAGTCCCAGTCGTACCGCGACGCATAAGCCTGGTGCACGGCCCGCACTGCATGCGTCGACAAAGCACAAGCACTCATCAGTGTGTGCGGTGTGTGTGTCGTGTCGTGTCGTGTGCGTGTATGTCGTGTCGTGTCGTGTCGTGTGTAACTGCGTACGCTCGGAGGAGTCGGTCATGGTGACGGTGGTCTTGAGGTCGACGGCGTAGGCCGCGTAGATCTCCTCGTTGACCTTGACCCGCGGCAGCATCGACTCGCCCACGTAGACGTCGTCCTCGAACAGGCACAGCGGCCCCGACTCGAGCGGCACGCCGAACGTGTTCTTGAACTTGATCACCGCCAGCGGGTTGTCCTCCCGCACATTCTTCGCATTCATTTCCCGCCCCCCCCAAAAGGCAAGTTACTGACTGGTGCCACGTCACGCTGACATGGCAGATTGGGGGTGGGGGGTGAGTGGGTGGGGGTCGAGAGGGTACCTTGTTGTAGACGGAGGCCTTGACGCCGTGGAACTCGGTGTGGAGGAAGGGCACGAGGGCCGACTGGTTGCGGTTCACGTTCACCGCGCTCGTGATCTGTTCGTTCGTTGATTGATTATTGGTTGGTGGTCAAAAAGGTCGCATGGGATTGGTCGAGTGGTCCATACCTTGTACTGGAAGAGGTCGGCCATCTCCATCTTCTTGGCTTCGGAGTTGACCTCCACCGACGACGACGCCGACGACCTCGAGAACCTGGTATGCGCAGGCCCGAGGCGCCCACTCAGTCACACGCGGCGGAGGAGGCGTAAGGGGGGGTGTGATGGGGCGGCGGGAGTACTCTTCGGGCGGAGGGCCGCCGGGAAGGCCTCCGTAAGCGTCCATGTCGCCGTCGTAGCAGATGGCGGCCTCCTCTTCGGCCTCTTCTTCGGCGTAGATGGAGGACCGCCTGGCGTAGGACATGGAGGCCATCGGCGGCGGCGCGCAAGCCATAGCCATCGACATGGAGGGCATCATATCCGCCTTCTCCTTCATGGCCCGGGCGCGGCGCACCGGCACCGCTTTCTCTGTGGGCCATAAAAGAAAACAATTAATGAATAAATAATAAATAAATCAATAAACAGCATATATACGGCATTATATTTATATAATGTTGATATGTAAGTATATATTTATATATATATAAAGAAAGGAACGTACTCTCGTCGCGGGTGGCGGTGGCCTCGGAGAGGGCCGAGAGGTCGTGCTGGGCGACGGCGTCTTCGAGCGTGGGCGGGGCCAGGGTCTCCTCCTGCTCCACCTCGATCTGTCCCGCGCGCCAATGGCGAAAGAGAGTTAAACTCTCGTGGGTCCCAATTGGCGGACGAAAGAGTAAGCGTGGTGGTTGGGAGTGGGTGGGGTGGTACCTCAGTGCGGGCGGCGTAGCGCGGGTTGTAGAGGTCGTAGATGAACGAGTTCGACGCGCCCGACACCAGCGACAGCTTCACGTCGCGCCAGTCCTCGTTCTGCGTGTTGTCCACCAGCGCCCAGCCCTCGATGATCGACTTCACCTCCTCTGTTGCACGTCAATCGTTGCGCGTTGTCATGTAAGACATCCGGGTGTTGCTATGCAACACCAAAGCAAGCAACCGGTTGGTGAATCGAAATAATATTGCGTACTCTTGTTGTTGAAGAGGAGGCGGTAGGTGGTCTTCCACACGGGCGCCTCCACGATGTACGACGCCCGGATGTTGCGCTTCTCGCCCGCGCCGCGCGTGTAGCCCGTCACCGACTTCAGATCCTTCTTCTTCGCCTGTCGCACGCACGCATACACCGCACGACGCGACACACGCGACACGCACACAACGGGAGGTCAGCGCCAGAACAAGGAGTGTGTGTGTGTGAGAGAGAGAGAAAGGGAGAGAGAGAGAGAGAGAGCGGAGGGGTGGATGGCGCACCTGGAGGAGGATGGTGAGGAGGTGGCGCAGGTCCTGCTGCATGAGCTCGTTCACGAAGCGCAGCTTGGTCACGGTGCCGAGGTTGAAGTACTGCACGGCCTTGCCCGCCACCAGCAGCGCCAGGAAGTAGGCCTCGTGCCAACTTGGACGCACCAGCGTCTTCTTCTCCAGACCTGTTCGTGTGCGGTGGTGCGTGTGCGTGTGCGTGTGCGGCAGTGAGCACACAATGAAAAGTGGTGAAGTGGGGAATGGAAGGGGTTACCGATGACGGTGCCCTCGATGAGGTCGCGCTTGCCGTGGCGGAGGACCTCCACCTGGACGGGCGTGCCCTTGACCTGGCCCAGCAGGTCGCGCAGGGACGAGTGCTCGTTGAGCGAGATGGAGAGGTCGTCGAGCTGCTTGTCGAAGGGCCGTGTCGACTCGTAGCTGATCGACGACACCAGACCTGCACTCCGTCGTGAGACACCACCCACATCTGTCGTGTGCGTGTGCGTGTGCGTGTGTGTGCGTGTGTGTGTGCGTGTGCGTACTGGCTTTGCCGATGGTGCTGATGTCGGAGCTGGACTGGATGGTGCTCTGCTTGTTCTTCCCGAAGCTGAACTCGGCGGTCACCTTGGCCTTGACATCTGGGAAGAACCCTCCTTGTGTCAATTATTTTTTAAAAATAAAAAATATAACAAAAGACAAGTTGTCTCTTTCAAATAAAGGGAGCAGCAGCGCTTTTGGGCGATGATGGCAAGCACTCATTAGCTATGTACCGGTCTTGTTGGAGAGGTCGACCATGGTGAGGGACTTGAGGACGTCGTTCATGTCGCCGCTCTTGAAGAACAGCTCGAACGGCCGCCCGCCTGCCACCTCGTCCTCCCTATTGTCGTTGGTGTCGCATATATTTTTTATAATTAAACCCAAATTATGAAATCATTTTTAATTATTAGAAAAAAATGAAGATTGAGATTGAGAATGAGAGGGGGGTACCGTTCGAAGTAGCCGATGCCAGTCTTGGAGAGCACCACCTTCTTCACTGGGAAGAGGGCCTCTGCCTCTTCAGTGGCGGGTCCTGCCGCCGCATCGCCCGACACGCGCGTGGCCTTTCGTTCCTTGGGCTGTTCCATTCCTTCTGTTCCCAATTTACAATCTTTTACGCTAATCTCTTTTCTGAGGGGACCTTGGTGTGGCTCACGAGTGCAGAGAGTGTAGTTTGACTGACCACCAAGAACCAAGAACCAAGAACGTTACCTACCCAGCAATTTCAGTTCTCGGCCTTCGTTCTTTTGTCGCTTTCAGTCGTTTTGGTTCGTGCGGTGAACCCGAGCGTGTCGACACATAATTTGACCATTCCCAGACGAGAATGGATCTCGTTTGGGGGGGGGTGCGATATGTGGGAGTGTATTCCAAAACAACCTCGCCCAAGTGGGAGAGGAAAAAAGAAATAGGCTCCACCTGGCGTCAGGCCTTCTTGCCGGCCTTCTTGGTCGCTCCGGCGGCGGAGACGCCCACAGCTCCGTCCCTCTTGGTCACGGCCTTGATCACGCCCACCGCCACCGTCTGCTTCATGTCCCGCACCGCGAACCTGATCACCGGAAACATGTTAGAGTTTTGTTATACATGTATCTTCTTCATATATCAATGTTGTACGAATATGAATGATGTTGATCGAGCTAGATTGTGGAAGCGTACCTGCCCAGAGGCGGGTAGTCGGTGAAGGACTCGACGCAGAGGGGCTTGGAGGGGACCAGCACGACGTGGGCACAGTCGCCGCTCTTGAGGCTGGCCGGCGACTCCTCGGTGCGGGCGCCCGTACGGCGGTCCAGCTTCTCCACCAGGGCGTCGAAGCGGCACGCGATGTGGGTCGTGTGGCAGTCGAGCACGGGCGAGTACCCGGCCCGGATCTCGCCCGGGTGGTTGAGCACGATGACCTGGGCCGTGAAGTTCTCGCACTCGCGCGGCGGGTCGCGGCGGGCCTCGCCGCACACATGGCCGCGCTTGATGCTGCGCAGCGCTCCGGTCGACTTCACGCAGAATCCAATGTTGTCGCCCGGCACGCCCTCAGCCTTCTCCTCGTGGTGCATCTGTGAATACATGTTGACGACAACGTTAAGACATCATGTGGTAGACATGGATTCTATTGAGTGTTGTGAGGAGCACCTGGACGGACTTGACCTCGGTGGTCACGCCGCAGGGAGCGAAGACCACCTGCATGCCGGAGCGCACCACGCCGGTCTCCACCCTGCCCACGGGCACCATGCCGATGCCTCCGATCTTGTAGATGTCCTGGTGGGGGGGCATTATTACAAAATGTCGATTATACTATGATGGAATGTGGGAGGAATGTGGGCACCTGGAGAGGAATGCGGAGGGGCTTGTCCAGGGGTCTCTTGGGCGGCTTGATGGAGTCCAGCGCCTCGATGAGGGTGGGTCCGTCCCACCACGTCAGGTTCTCGCTCCTGTCGGTCATGTTGTCGCCGCCCCACCCCGACAGAGGAATGAAGGGCACATTCCTGGGGTTGTACCTGCTCCCGCATTCGCCAGCCACATTACATAAAGTCAGCCAATAGCTATTAATCGTTTTTAATGTTTGGGTGGGAGGGTAGTGGTGTTACGTACCCGACCTTCTTGAGGTAGGCGCTCACCTCGTCCTGGATCTCGATGAAGCGGTCGCGGCGCCACATCACCGAAGGCGAGTCCATCTTGTTGACGATCACGATCGCCTGCTTCACGCCCAGCGTGTAGGCCAGCAGCGCGTGCTCCTTGGTCTGACCAACACATGTCAGTTGGCGTGCAACCAACAATACTCGATCCACGACTACTCGATTGGTTAGTTACCTGTCCGTGCTTGGAGAAGCCGGCCTCGAACTCGCCCTGGGCGGCCGAGATGACGAGCAGGGCCACGTCGGCCTGCGAGGTGCCGGTGATCATGTTCTTGATGAAGTCCCTGTGTCCCGGGGCGTCGATGATCGTAAAGTCGTACCTGTTCAATAGTCACCATTCAAGTTCATTTAGTTTCGCACTGGTCACATGGCAACAAACACAGTAAAGGATTAGGTACCTGGGGCTCTGGAACTTCCAGAGGGCGATGTCGATGGTGATGCCGCGCTCGCGCTCGGTCTTGAGCTTGTCCAGCACCCAGGCGAACTTGAAGGAGGCCTTGCCGATGGCGCGCGCCTCCTCCTCGAACTTGTCGATGGTGCGTCGGTCGATGCCGCCGCAGCGGTAGATCAGATGGCCGGTGGTGGTCGACTTGCCGGCGTCGACGTGGCCGATCACCACCAGGTTGATGTGGGTCTTCTCCTTTCCCATCTTGTTGAGGTTCCGCTGCAGTTGCGTGCCAGTTGCATGTCAGTTGGTCAACATTGCGTTGCAGCTGAAACAAGGGGGATGATATGTACGATTGTTGGTTGGGTTATGTTGTTTGATTGGAAGATATAGTCTCGCTCAGCCCGTGAGCACTTGGTTGAAAGAAGAGAGGAGAGGGTGGTGTGTTACAAGTAGCTTGGTGGCTTCGTGTCACATGTGGTTGTTGGGCAAAGAATCACGGATGCTAGTGGGCAGGATATAAAGGCGCCATTCTGTAATATTTCTCATAAGCAAGCACCAACAGGCCCGTTGGTGGCCGCCACTCGCTCGGTGGCAGCGGCTGTGGAAGCAGGCGCACATGCTGGCCAGGCTTTCCAGCTTATTTCTTGGAATGCAAGTTGCCCTTCTTTTTGCGAGGCAAGAACGCGAGGAATGGACAACTTCTTTCCATTCCTCGTTGTAGGGCAAACGAAGAACGCCGTTGCAGGGCAGCGTTGGGACGTACGAAGATGAATGAACAAGATGCGCTCATCTTCTTGTGCTGGGTTGGGTTGGTGAAGAGGTGAAACAGTTTGTTATTACTTTGTCAAAAGAAGAATACGTTTATACATCGCATTGGCCTTCCCCCTTCTGGCCGCCGAGAATCGTCCCTTCCTTCGTCGCCCTCTCCAACTGGTCTTGTTGGTGAAGCTTGGTCAAGAGAGACACTCGTCGTTGAAGGGCGGAGGAGTGATCGGTAGTTGGAGGTGCAAAAGAGATGTCGATGTGTGAGTGGTGATGTCGTAGAAGAACAAGTAAGGGGGCGGGGGAAGATGGAAGGTGCTGGTGATGGTGATGTCGGTTATCTAGATGAGAGCGCAGCCTTTCTTCTTCTTGTCGCCTGTCTTGTTGCCGGTGTTCTTCTTGTTGATCTGCCTGACGAGGTCAAAAAAGACGTTCTCGACGTTGATCTTCAACTTGGCCGACGCCTCGATGAAGGCGCAGTTGAACTTCTTGGAGAGGCCCTCGCCCTGGTCCCTCGAGATCGCCCTCTGGTCCTGGAGATCGCACTTGTTACCCACCAGCACCATCGGCACATCCTCGGTGTCCTTCACCCTCAGGATCTGGTCCCGCAGGTCCTCGAGGTCGTTGAATCTATGTTGATTGAAACGAAGGCGTTAGTTTGATTTGATTGTTCATCAACTTCTAGTGGTTGTTGTTGAAGGTTATAGGTACGTGGACTGGGCGATGATGCTATATACAAGAATGAAGCCCTGTCCGTTCTTCATGTACAAGTCCCTCATGCTGTTTGGGGGTAGAAGATGGGTTAGCTCGTTGCCCAAAGGGGGAGTTTGTTGGTCATTCGATGGGCGTAAGTGTACGCAGTGAACTGCTCAGTTCCGGCCGTGTCGAGGATCTCAAGCATGCACTGCTGGCCATCGACCTCGACCTGCTTACGGTACGAGTCTTCGATTGTGGGATCGTACTGCAGTTCGAACGAAGGCGGGTCAGTATGAGAATTGAAGAAGACGAAGTAGAGGATCAAGTAGTAGTAGAAGAAGAACACATCAGTTGAAGTAGAGTGATCTCCGGTACGAGAGGTGGTGGTGTTCTACCTTTTCGACGAAGATACCCTGGACGAACTGGACTGTGAGGGCCGACTTACCCACACCACCGCTTCCGAGCACGACGATCTTGTATTCCAACATCTTCTATGTCTATGATGATCTAACGTCTTCTTGTTCTTGTTGTTGATGATGATACTTTTTCCAAGCCTAGCTTCAGAGCTTCAACTCCTCTCTTCAGTTCGTTTGCGGTGGGGAGAAAGACAGTGGGCGGGCGGAACGGAGTACCTATTGGCCTGGAGCGCTTACTTGTCGACAAGCAGCTGTTGCGAGAAGACAATTCGTTTCGCTTCATGTTCGCCGAACATGAGGGGCCACGCGCTCAACGGCTTCTTCAGTCGCGCCTCCTCTCCATTCTCGCGAAAGGTCGCGTGGCAGAGCTCTTTTCGGATTAGGTAATGGTGCATAAAAAGGTAGGCCTTTGTTTCCGTTAGCCGAATAGTTTTTTTGTGTAATCTTTGTAATTCGGACCAAACAATGCCAAATATTCATGACCAAAAAGCTTGTTGGTAAAATTACACGTGTAACCGGTTGCCTATCAACCGCTCTTAGACGTCGCCTGGTTGCGCGTGTGGGTCGAGCGCTGTTCGTCGACGACGGCCACCGCCGGCATGCCCTGCGATGACGACGGCGACGACGATGCTGGCGACGACGGCGAGGGCGGCGATGTCATCGAAGAAGAAGTGGTGGATGAGAGGTAGACGAGAGCCTGGACCAGCCGCTCCTCCTGCCGCACCTTGTCCTCGTAGACCGCCATCAGCTTGCGGAACTCCTCGATGATGTAGGGCGACGTGAACGTGGTGGGCATGTGCGGCTGCATGCCGCGGTCGGTCGAGCGCGGCGAGAGCACGGCCAGCGGGTAGTGGTGGGCCGCAACCGGGGAGGAGCCCGAGCCCGAGCCCAAGATCGAGAGCTTGCTCTGTGACATGAAGAAGCGCTCCACCTCCTTGAAGGCCTTGACCCGCTCCTCGTGCAGCGACTCCAGCTGCTTGCTCAAGGCGGCCATCGACACTGGTAACAAGAAGTCATTGTTAATATTAAATATATCATAAAAAAGTCTACACATAGGAGCACGAACCCACTGGGTCCGAGCCGAGCTCACACGAAGCAATCACTTGGATCAGCGAGGTCTGTAAACTCAGTCTTCCTGGCCGCACGGCTACGAGGCGACACCACACGACACACGACACACGACACACGACACACGTTGTTGTTTGTTGTGAGTTGTTTGGGTCGTTAATTCATAGACAGGTGGGGAGTGCGCACTCTTTTTGGAAACCGACGTGGCTGCGGGTGTGACAGCGGCGCCGGGCTTCTTGTCACGCTCCGTGCGACTGCCGTCCTTAGAGCTGCGCGTCGACTTGGCCAGCGGCGCCGCGGCCCCGCCGCCGTTCCGGCGGTGGTTGGAGGGCGAGCGGTTGGCGGTGGACCGCTCCCTGGCCGTGTAGTTGCCCCGGTTGTGCCTCTTTGCCGACGACGACGACGACGATGAAGACGACGTCTTCCCGGCCGCGCCTTCACTGTTGGTGTTGTCGACACTGTCCGTGTCCGACACATAGCTGTCCTCGTCGTCCGACGACAGGCCTCGGTCGGAGCTCGTCGACGCCCATTCGTCCTCGTCGTCGCTGTCCTTGCTGCTGCTGTTGTTGTTGTTGTCTCTTATCAGCGCGGCCACGCCCCCGACGCCGCCACTCGGCACGCTGTTGCTCTTGTCTCCCTGCGGCGACTTCTTGGCGCTCCGCTTCTTGTTGAGCCGGTCCATGAGACCGCTCTTCTTGATCATCGAGATCTTGAGGAACGCCGAGCTCTTCTCCTTCGCGCCGCCCTCACCCCCGGTCTTCTCCGTCGCCGCCGATGCCGGCTCGCTGCCGATGCTGTTCATGCCCTCTTCGGAGCCCTCCAGGCTGTCGCTCCGCGTTCGGCCGGGCGACGCAGGGACGCCAGAGTCGCCCGCCACCTCGCGGGACTCTGGCGCGCCGTCGTGTCGGCCGCTCGAGGGACTCTGGTGCGGCGTCGCGCCGCGCTCCCGGCCCGACAGCTTCTCCCGCGTACGCTCGGATCTGGTTCGCTCGACGTCGCGCTTGTCCTTGTTGGCACCGCCTCGACTGTTCTTTTCTCTAGTCTTTTCCTTTTCCTTTCCCTTTCTTTTTCCTTGGCTGGCTTGTGTCTCTCGCTGCTGTCGCTGCCGCTGCCGTGGTGGTCGTCCTTGTTGCGCTTGAGGCGGCCCGAGCGTGGCTTCTTGACGAGCGAGAACTTCTTGTCGCCTCGGATGTAGTCCCGCGGGTCCTCGGTATTCACATTCATCGTCGGCATCCCACATTCCAACAACACCTGGCGCGCAATCGACCACGGTCGATTGAACGTTGAGCCTTGATCGAACCTTTTCTGGCAGCCAAAGAATATATGTTTGGGGGAGGTATGAAGTACCTCCAGCAGTTGCAGGAATGCTGGACCGTCGCCAGAGTTGTTGTTGTTGCCGCTGCTGTTGTTGTTATGGTTGAGAATCTTTTTGCTTCGCTCCAGGCCTGCCACCTTCACCGCGATCCTGTCCAAGTTGCTACACGATCGAAGAAGACAAAGATAAATAAATAAATAAAACACAAAAGGTGAGCTGATGTTGCTCTCTTTCTTTCTCGAGACCAGCCGAAAGCAGGCAAATAAAGGAATGTGATGACATACCAGCAGAGCGCCGAGTGGAGGTAGCTCGCACTGGGGTAGGCCTCCTCCAGCGTCAGCTCTCGCTCGGCGAGCTCCTCCTCCTGCACGACAGCGTGCGTGAGCGACAGCAAAAGTTCGAGCGAGTGTAGGCATCAAAGGGGGACCACGCACGGTGGATGACTCCGAGGCGATCTCCTCGAAGAAGGCCTCGACCTTGGCCAGGTTTTCGCGAATGAAGCCGTTCAAGCGCAGCATGTGTTCCTGGTGTTTTTTTTCGCCGCCGGCCAGAGCGTCAGTTCGCAGCCGTGGTGCGCGGATGTTATGGCCATTGACACCAACAGACACCAAAGAAACTGCTGAGGTGCAGGGCCTGCGCGAACCTCTTTCTCGCCGAATTCGACGCCGTTGGCCAGGTTCTGCATGACCTTCGACACCAGCACCAGCCCACGCCGGCACTTGGGAGAGACTTGCTCTGATGGTTCCGTTTGATGAGTTTCAAGGGGGGGGCAAGAAATTGCGAGGGGGGTGGCGGTACCTTCTAGGATACCAAAGGCTTCGGGGCTCACGATCGCCGGCGAGATGAAGCGAAGGAAGAAGAAATTCTTTTCAACACAAGAGACACAAAAGTGGATGAGAAATCTCTTTGATTTGGAGAAGAAGAAGAAAGTGGTGGTTACGTGTGGTGGACACGTACGGTGAGGACGATGTATTTACTCTGGGGAAACTTCTTGATGACCTCTCGCTGCAGGTGGTAGCACACGGCTCGGAAAGACCTGCGCCACGTGTGGTGAGCCATGCTGCGGTTTTTCAAGGAGCAGGACTGTACATGGGGCAGTGCTTGATGGAGCTGGTGATGGTGTTGAGGAAGAGATGACAAAAATCGGACAGCGTTTGCGCATTCTCCTCCGGGTCCTCGCCCGGCACCGCCCGCGCGGGGTCAATCTGCAATAATAATAAAGATAAACAAATAAATTTAAAATAAGAAAAAATAAGGTAATAATCAATGAATTTTACGTCATGTTCATGAGAAAGGATGAGCTTGTGAGAGGGTGGACGCGGGCAGGTACCTCCATCGACTTGTTTTGGGAGTAGAGCGTGAGGACCTTTTCGACCAGGGGCCGGATGACCTTCAACAGGAACTTGCGGCCGACCGACTGGCAGTAGGCCGACAGCAGGTGGGACGCGATGTCGTTTCCACGAAAGAGCGTTGATCCCTGGATGATGCCTGCATTGCCGCACGGCCAGCGCACGACACAACACACACACACGTGGAAAAAGAGGTCAGTCAGCAACGATGGAGAGTAGAGCTGGAGAGCTGGATGTGGACGAGGGAGTTGTTACCCGTCTTTCGGACTTCGCTGCCGATGAGGCCGACCAGCAGCGGGATCGTGCGTCCGGGGAACATCCGAAGCACGTGCAAGAACCCGTGCGCCACTCGCTCGGCCACCTGCGTGTCCGTCGTCGAGCACAGGGCCTGACATGGGACAGCAAAGGTTCAGCAAATACCCTCAAGTCGTGTGTGTGTTGTGTGTTATTGTTGTTGTTGTGTGTGTGTGTGTGTGTGTCTGTGTCTGTGTGTCTGTGTCTGTGTGTTTCGCGGGTTGGCGTGTACGGTGATGATCATGAGGTCGGAGCGAGACAGGAGCTCGATCAAGGGCATGTAGTTGTTGGCCCTCTTTTTGGACTTGCCGCCCGCTGTCCCGTTCCCGTCGTTCATCGCATACCGAAAGTAGTCGATGTCGAGCGCACCCTGCACCGCACAGGAATGCCGGGAACGCGATGATGTCAGTCAACCTACGACCCCCTACTGCGTGTTGGCGAACTGCTGGAATATTGGATCTGCGTACCCGGAGGCCGCTGTCAAACGAGTAGCCAGTCCAGGCGCTCGGGTCAGGGCCTGGCTCCAACAGCACCACGCTGTCGCCCTCATTGAACGACAACCGCGGCATGCTGGCGTACACACACGCACCACACACACCACACACACACAGAGAGAGAGAAAGAGAGAGAGAGAGAGAGAGGTGGAGTCAGCTCGTGTGCAAGTGTGTGAAAGAAATAGTTGGGGAATGTGTGAGACGCACTCCCTCTCTTTTTCCTTTTCGTCCTCCGGCCAGGGATTCCAGGGGCAGTTGCAGTCGTAGCAGGCCGGCAGCAGGACAGGCGGCACCAGCTTGGCCTGGAGGAGACGCGCCGATCGCTTTTCCTGTATGTGCGGGCGTGCGAGCATTGGTCAGCTTGTTCGCGCGTGTGCAGTGCGTGCGTGTCGTTATCAGCGGGCCGGATGGGCTGGGCGGTACAATGGAGGCGATGTATCGGTTGAGGTTGAGTGGCAGCCGAGCTTGGAGGAGGTTCATGGCCCGAGCGACCTCGGGCGACACCAAGCCCTTGGTGTCCAGCTGCATAATAAATTAACATAAATAATATTTAGTAAACGACCAACAAAAAAAAAGAACACAATAGAGAGCGCGAGGAGCGAACCATGGAAAGGGAGGAAATGGTGCTCTTTCGCGGGTCTTCGTGAGGTTGAATGAAGAAGCCCGATATGTGGCACTCCAAGCGCTGGGCGCCTCCTTTCTCAGTAAAGTCCGGGTGTTCCACCTGTGCGACACACAATCAGTTCTTATTGTTCTCTTCTTTTCTGCTTCTTGGTGGTAGTTGTACCGATCGCCAGAGATAGATCGCCGAGCCGTCTTTGAGCCGCCTCGCCGTGCGGAGCACGAGCTGTTCGAATTTGCCGCCCTCTTTTTCGCCCGGCACCCACGTATCCACCCGGAGCAAGTTGGCCGTCGGCTCGCCCAGCATCTGCGCGCACACACAAACACCGTATGAGCTGTGCTATGTGTCATGCGTGCCAGGCGTGTCGTGCGTGTGTCGTGTCGGCTGTGTTGCGTACCTGTTCCACGCGCCCCATGGAGTACATGTCGTCCCAGCAGCACCGCTCATCCACCGAACTGATGATGTCCAGCGCCTGCATCCACCCGCGACCGTCAGCGACCGTGGTGAGCGAGATCTCTGAAGTTAGTCGAGTCGCGTCCAGTACCTTGTGGGGCGGCACGTTGAGGGTGCCGTCGCCGCGGTAGCAGGGGATGGAGCACTCGGCAAAGGTGGTGGTCGACACGGTGACGCGCTCCTCGCCGCCGACGTGGTGGTGCTGGATCGCCCAGTCGTCGTCGAGCGCCTCGGCGTCGATGTCCCACTTTCGGTTGGTGAGGAAGCGCACAAAGCCCGAGAAGATGACCTCGGGGATGCGCAGCGGGAGCTGGGTGCGCTGCTTGATCACCTTGCGCCGCTCGGCGTCGCTCAGATCGCGCAGGGCCGAGGCCGTGAGCAGCGTGTCGGGATTCGAACAGAAGAGCGACGCGTTGAAGATCTGCTTCATGAAGCTCGGAAACGGGCGCTTGCGCATGTGCTTCCACACCTAGCGTGAGACAGGTGAGTGACAGTGAAAGACACACACACACACACACACACACGCACACACACGCATACACACACACACACACGACACGACACACGACACGCACCTCGTTCTGGGCGGCATCGAAGAGATTGCGCGAGAGGAAGAGGTTGGCGGCGGCGTTGACGCCCTGCTCGATGCTGTCGAGTATGTCGGGCGGCATGCGGAGTGCCGACACGAAGTAGGGCGACGTCGACGACTCGGCCGTCGACGGGACCAGGTACTGCGTGTAGAGGATGTCGGCCAGGTAGGCCTTGGCCTGCCGGTCCTTCTGCCGCTTGAAGTCCTCCACCAGCATCCAGAACCGGAACACGGCCTCGTCGGGGTCGCGCTGCTGCGGCTGGTACTCCTTGCGCTGACGCCGCAACGTGGCCGACGCGCCAGGCCCGGCGCCAACGGCGGACGACGACGATGACGTGGCGGGCGTCGACACATTCCCCGAGAGCCAGGAGGCCGAGCCCTTGGGCGAGCTGGCGGGGCGCCGTCGGCCCGGGCTGCTCGGGTCGGACTTCTTGCGGCCAGGCTGCTTGCCTCCGGCGGCGAGAGCCTGTCTGCCGGCGGCGCTGTTGTTGCTGACCACATTCACGAGCTCGTTGTCGTCGAGATCCTCGTCCGTCTCCTCTTCGTCGTCACCGCTCGTCCCGTCGTTGCTGCCGTACAGGTCTCCACCACCGTCCCTCGGCCCTCGGCCGCTGCTGCTGCCGCTTCTGCGACCACCGCCGCTGCCGCCGCTGACTGCGGTGGCGGTGGTGAGGTTGCTAGGGGTTCGCCCGGTGCTGCCGATCGTCACCGTGCCGGGTCCGCGCAAGCGGGTGGGTCCAGGGGACAGGAGCAGTCTGGTCTCGCCGCTCTTGTGGTCGAGCCTGGGCGAGACCGAGGGCGACGTGCGCCGGGCGGAGCGTCCGGAGCCGCTGCCGCCGGCGGTGGTCGAGGTCGATGTGGAAGCCGCGGCGGAGGTGTCGCCCGCGCCGCTGCCAGTGTCGTTCGATTTGCTGACGTGCCAGTGGCGCGGCTGGTGTCGGGGGCTGGTGGGCGATGTGGCGCGTAGACGAGGCGATTCGCTTCCGCGCCCGAGATACTCCTCATCGTCGTCCTGGTCTGAGCGCATCATCGCGCCTCTTCTTGTTCGTCTTCTTCCGCTTCTTCTTGTAGAACGATTTCCCCGTGAGAGATTTTAATCTCGAGCCTTTCCGCCTCCTTCTGGGTTGAACGTCGATTCGTTGGCCTCCTTCTTCTTCTCTGCTTCTACGTCGCTGGACCCGGCTAGGAAAAATAGAAAATATAACAATCCACACTCTGTAGAGTTCTCGATCTTCGAGCTGCGGGGGAAGAACGTTGTTGTTGCAGTTGCTGTTGCTGATGGCGACTCCTGGTCTTCTATTCTCGCCACACGTGTCGTTCTTTTGCCTAAATGACGCGTGGGACGCAACCTGGAATAAGATATTCCCGCTATGGTAAGTCACCTAAACTGAAACGAAACAAAAAACCCAAATCAAATCAAAAACCCAAAAATTAAGGCTTGCCCGTACCTGGTGTGCGAAGAGACAGCAACGAGCCCCTAACACGACACGACCAACGATACGACACGACACGACCAACTACACGACACAACACGACCAACGACACGAGGGCCAAGCAATGGTAGGCGAGGGAGCGGGGTAGCACTGTTATAAGGAGTGGAAGAGGCATCGAACACTGTCGCGGGGAACGTTGCTATTCGTCAAGCTTCTTGGCCGCCTTGTCGCGGGAGAGCTGATAGATCTCGATGTAGGACTTGTAGGTGATGTTGCCGGCCAGCACCCGGGCCTTCTCGAAGAGGGGCCGCTTGCCGCAGTTCTTGAGGATCGTTTCGATCACCTCCTGTCGGATCAACGCCAGCTTGCTATCGTCATCTTCGTCTTCGTCTTCGCTTTCGCGCTTCGCCTCTGCTTCAGCTTCGTTCTTCTCCACCGCTTCGCCGTCAACTTCACCGGCGTCGGCGTCAGCGTCGCGATCGTACATGGCCCACACGCGGAAGAGGAGCGCCTTCTCGAGCGGCCTCTGGCTCGTCTGGGCAGCGGCGTAGGCCGCGAAGCTCTTCTTGTCCATGCCCTGCTTCCGCTTCGCCTCGAGCACCGTGTCCCTCAGTCTACGCACAACGCATGATACACCAGTTGTTTCCCGCGGGAATGTGAGCCAACCGATCAATCAACCAATTCCCCACATTCTGCGCAGGCAAGATTGGGTACCGGCGGCAGCTGAGGCCGATCTCCTTGAGCAGGTCGCGCGCGAAGTGGTCCATCGCGTTCCGGTCATCGGCAGCGAGCCACGTCCGTAGGTCGTCGTACTTTTCTGAAAGTCGAAGAATTGATCAATTTCGTGTGAGAGAGCCGACGCTCACAGGGCGCGCACGTACCTTCGAGGATGACCTTCCACACGTCCATTTCCGACCCGTGCTGCGATCGCGATCGCGAAACGAGGTCCAGGGTCTTGTTGAGGTCGCAGTACCAGGCCGTCTTGATCTTGTACATCTCGCCATTCTCGAAGCGAATGACAAACCCTGACGCGTCCAATATATTATTAATTAATAATAGGAAAAAACATGAAATTAAGCCGAATGTTAGGACAGCTTTGGATAGATTATGATCTGATGATTGGGTGGTAATGTTACCTTCAAGGCCGATGTTCTTCTCGCGGATGGTCTTCTGAAACTGCTCGAATTCGGTGATCGAGCCTACGCCCACCTCCTCCGCCGTCCTGGGTGAAAGTGGGGTGGCAATAGGAAAGTAGTGAGGCAGCAGTAGCCACCACCAGGCCATGAGAGGTGAACGAGCGCAGCGAGTAGTAGTGTACCGGCACGTGACCACGGGAATGCCGTGGTGCCTGGCGTGCTTCTGCATCTCGAAGAACGGGACGTAGTCTCCGGTGTGAACGTGGCGCACCGAGATCAGCGTGAGCGTGTCCTAAACATAACATTGACGATAATTATTGTAAGTACCATAATTATCATCATCAACATTCATTCATAAATAAAAAATTAAACTTGAGCACGGCGATACCTCGGGGTAGTCGAGCACCACCCGACTCTTCTGGCTGCACCACTCGTAGATGGGCGAATATCTGACGAACGACAATTAGTGGGCACGACCCACACGACACAAACTACAAACACGACACACGACGCGAGAGCACACAAAGGAGAACGGCGAAGTAGTTGGAGGAGTCGGTACCCCTTGTCGACCCAACGAGCCGAGTATTCGAGGTACGGAATGTCCGAACGAGCGACGTAGCTCTCGACGAGCTTGGAGGTGTCGGTCACGCCGTTCTTGGTGGCAAACCTTAGCTTGCCCTCCGTGTAGAAGGGGCACACCATCGAGCCATCCAGCTTCTCCAAGATGATGAACGGCCGGTTGAGGTTGATCTTTCCCGCCTCGACCTCTTCCGTTTCGTTGACTGCGTACACGCGAGCGTCAGCTCAGAAGTGTGAAGCGCACACCACACACACACACACACACATACACACACACACATACACACACACGACACACAAGTCATATGAAGTGCTTCGCCTCGCTGGGTCCGTACCGTTGAAGAACTTGTGGAAGCGGCGCGACAACACCTTGCCCGTGGCGTGCGAGAAAATGATGCCTGTACCCAGTTAATGAGTAATTATCGCAGTCAGCCACAGCTCCAACGCTCTTTCCCCGGTCAGTCGGAGGGCTGGCCACGCAGAGGCCAAGAGCCGGGCGTGGTCGTACCTCGGCACTCCCTTCGCAGCCGCCAGTGGTACGCGGTCTCGGCATCTGGCGCTGTGGCCGGGTCTGGAAAAATGTCCTGTCCGGAGCAGACAGATAAATAATTTTACAAAATAAATTAATCAAAGCTAAAGCGGGAAACGAACCTTGGCCATGCCGAGGAAGTAGACGAAGCTCGAAAAGTCGGCGTTCTTGACCTCGCGGAAGTCATCGCGTCCTATCGGCGGTGAATATTGATATATATATTTAAATAAAAAGAAAAACAAAGTCTGGCGCACCCTGGATAGCCTTGCGTATTTCTTCGATGTTGATGTCCTGCGGGAACAGGCCTGTAGCGGGGGGCGCATCAGGTATGGTGAGCCCTGCGGCTTCCTCGTTGCGTGCTTCCATGTTTTTGCTTTTGTCATTTTGTTATTTTTATTTGTTTTATTCTTTTGCTCCACCCCGAGTTCTGCGAATTTTTACAGAAGGGACGACAACACGAACCCGAAACCCAGCATGAGCTGCAACAAATTATGATCAGGAGAGGCGCTTGTTGGGCAGTGTAATCAAGGATATTATGTGTGTGTGATATGTTAATGTGTATACGTACAATGAAAGAAATGCAGAGCGCTTTTCGTGAGTTTGGAGTCATCACCGTGGGAAACGCTAACACTCTTTTCACTATAATCCTCCATACACCCCAAACCCCCCAGCCACACGGAGAACCTATGTTAGCCCCACGCGGCAGTTGTGCAATAGTTGATCACCAGCTGGCCGCTGTTGTGGAAACACTGCAGTGGACAGAGGGTGAGTGGTGAGTGGCCACTCGCACATGCTCAATTCGAGGGACCAGCAAGTGGAGGAAGCATAGAGGCACAGTGCAGTGTCTGTGGTCCTAGGTACCTTGAAGAGGTCGGCGATGACTTCCTCCGGGTTGGGCTGGAAGGCGCCGTTGACAAACAAAAACTGAAGAATGTCGCCAAGAGTTGGTGTTAGCTCGCGATGGGTCTAGGAGGGCTTGGAAGAAGAGAGCGAGAGGAGAGCACCAGAGGGTCGGTAGGCTTGCATCGCAGCTGCTTGCGAAGGAAGTCCACGATGAACTGGAACGAGGCCTTGGCTTGCAGCTTGAACTTGTTCACCTGAGAACGTACGACACCAGCGATAAGCGCGAGGGTAGAGCACACAGGTGCAGCAGTTCGCATTCATACAGAGCGAACGTGCAAGATAGAACGAGGCTCGATGAGGTTTGGGGGGGGGGTCGCACCTTCAACGCGGAGGCGCCACCAACGGCTTTGAACATAATTACAACTGCACAGCACACCAGACGAGTTGAGGGTGGTGCAGTGATTATGGGAGAGGGAACAACATACCTTTTCCATCTTTCATGTACTCTACGTTGGAAAAGAAAAGCGTGTAAGGAGGTGGCCGTGGCACATTGAATAAAAAGTTGTACTACTAAACAAATCATTTTGGAGATTCTGTTGTACGCACCTTCGACTGGCTTGGCTGCCGGTGCAGAGGCTACCACAGGAGGTTGGGCAGCTTGCTCGCCACCTGCCGATGCATCCGCCATCCTCTACGTTTTATGAACCTCGATGGAAAATCGATGCTCTAACTTGTCGCAGATTCTGTGTTCCTTGAAAGAAAGAAAACAGCAACGAAAATGTGAAAGAAATGACTGCATTAGGAAATATGAGCAAACTCTTTTGCAGATATTTGGACCAAAGTTCGTTGGTGGGTGCCCCTCGAGCAGAGAGCTCTTGGAGGCTTCCTGCGACCTTTCTCCACACAGTGCACACAGTGAGCTACAAAACCAGTGTTGTGAGCTCAAAGCATTCAACATCATACTCACACTCCCCGACCTCTTCATAACACAAACCCGCACAAGATGGTGGACGCTGCGACAAGACTCACCGTTGGAGACATCCTGCTCCTCATCCTCGGCATCCTTCTGCCGCCACTGCCCGTCCTCATCAAGCGAGGTTGCGGCTGCCAGTTCCTTTTGAACATCCTTCTCTGTATCATAGGCCTCTGGATCGGCGGTAACCTTCCCCCCCCCAACAACACCCCAGGACTTCGCCAGAGAATCGCGGCTAACACTGTTGTTGTGCTGGTCAGGTGTCATACACGCCTGGTACATTGTGTGCTCAACCTATGGCGAGGCCCTCTAGCAAGTACTCCTCAGATCTAAGAAGACACAACACAGCAACATAAATCTATTTACATTCTCCACGCCACACATCATCGCCTCAGACGAAGCGGATGGCCAGCAGGTGGTCGGCAGGCATGTCCGCCATGCGCAGCAGACCTGCATGACCGCATCCAACAGTGAGGTCGCCAATGCGCACACGCACACGATCAACGTACTGAGCAGAGTGGCGTCGCGCTCCACCAGAATGGTTGTGGTGGTGTTGTGGGCAGAGTCCCTGCGCCTGGCCTCGGCCCGGGTGATGAGGGACACTGCTCCCTCCCGTTCCAGGCACAGCCGGCGCGTCGTGACCGCGATACGCGTGGCCTGCCCGCACCAGCGACACACACAGCCATAGCGTTGTCAGCGTGGAGGACTCTTCAAGTGCTACATGAGATCAGGGTGGGGTGCTAAACGTTACCATGCGCATGACCCACAGCTTCCAGCGGCAGCCCAGGCTTCGGTCGATCTTGGGAAAGCCGTGCTCGAGACACAGGCGCCTCCACACCCTGCGTCATTAAAGGAGACGATGCCGACACTACACGTCAACAACAACTTGATGGTGGTGGTGGTGGAGGGAGGGGAAGGCTAGGGGCACCGAGGGTCGCTCGCGAGGGCGTGCCAGCGGCAGGAGACGTGCAGCGCGGCTACGATCCCGCCCAGGGGCAGAAACTCGAACACCCGCACCAGCACTTCGTCGGGCAGCAGCGCCTCGGAGACTTCGTAGTCGTTGTGTTGCCGCCTCCTCGCTCCAACCTTCTGTTCTCCTTCCATCTCTCGTCTCTTTTCTGTTGAAGCGACGGGAAGAAGGCCAGCATCATAATAGACGTTAGAACCCCGAGGCCAGTGCCATCATTCGTCTGAGCGGCCGTATGAGCGCCATGTGTGGAGAACAGTCTCGATCTGTATTTGGCCGTCGGGCGTATGCAGATGACTTGACGAGAGTCGCACTACGGGAAAGGAAGAGGAGGGAGGGAAGCGTTCATGTGTACATCTGGTTGTAGAACTCGAGGACCTCCTTCCTCTTCTTGTCCATCTCCTTTTCTTCCTTGTTCCGGTTGAGCTTCAACTTGATCCTCTTACCCGAGATCGCCGAGCGAGGCCCTGTTGAACACATGAAGCACCATGAACATCAACACGGCGCATGCGTGAGTGAACTGGCCGCGACGTTCAACGTAGGCCTGGTATGCGGTGAGGGGGTAGTGCGGGTGAGGACCTTTGCCCGAGTCTGAACTGTCGCTGGCGTCCGAGTCCTTGTTGAAGTACTTCGAGAGCTGCGCTGGTCCCTTGGCCTTCTTCCTCTTCTAGAAGAGTCGGTTGCAATGGAGACAGTC